TTTCACAATGGTGAGGAAAGAGAATGAACAGAAAAAAAGTCATTTTAACTACAATACCGTTTTTCAGGCATACATAATTTGACAGAAAATCCTTCTGCTAATCTTAAATGCATGTACAATATTTTACGAAACTCTTAGTAAAAACGTACAAGCATGCTGTGAAACACTAAGCACTCCTGATACAGTATTCGAAGTTTCCATTGTGTTCATTGTGGAATACGAAGTGATTCTGTAGATGAATGTTATGTTTTTCATGCAGTGTATAACCGGGCAGATTTATAAGGCCTTGCTTTTCAGGTGGTTCTTAAAACTCAAAAGGCGATCGATGTTTTGCTGCAAATGTTATATGGTAGGCTACAATAAAGATACATAGATTATTCATTAAATTGTGCAATTTCAATCATTCCAACATTTGAATGCAAATGACCTGACCCTACTACCACCCTTCACATCTTGCCTATTATAAAAAACGAAAACCAGCCGGGACGACCAAGCCAGCGCCATATTATGGGTTTGAACTTTACTGTGCATTATGCGATTTATAGCATACACGTTTTTGTTGGAAGTGCTAGTTCAGGATGTCTATTTGTCATTATATTACTTAATATTAATTGATTATTGGTTGAAATAATTTTATGACATAAAATAGTTTAGATCAATTAAACCCTCTATGCCGTCATTGTCAAGTATTGCTCTTGATAATGAATTGTTATATTATGCTATATTGCATCCGCGTTTACCTGATTATGGCTTGCACAGACAGCTATATAGGCGATGTGGTGGAAGTGCTTCGTGTTAATCACCCCAGCTCATTTAGTACCAAATTCAGCATCGGTATTTGTCAGAATGTACACGATCCCACCTCACTCATTCGCAAGGGGCGGTAACATAAATAGACTCTAGTTCATAAAGATTTTCAAGGGAGTGTATGTCACTCTATAGGCTACTGCAGGCTATTCCTAGAAGTGAGTCGTCGTACTGTTGATTAAAAGCACTCGGTCTCCTGTTAAACCTTCAGGGTTGAGTCCTAGCGCAGCTCCTTGTTACTGTGGCTCCTGCTGCAACTGCTTTGTCAAACAAACGGACAAACATAGCCTAATGTTTATAGGCCTGAATGTCTGCAAATATTTAAACAACACTTTTACGTTTTAAAAAAAGAAAGTGAAATAAATATGGTCAGCGATATATATAAATACATATAAATGCAACACAAATGTGCATACAAAGAAGATACAATTGTTAACTCTTTCATAAGCGTTTCATTTATGCTGCAGCTGCTCTATAATGATTCTCTCACTTGTAGAGTTTATTTACGCTCAGAGAGCGGCTAGGTAGTTGTTCTGACATGCAGTAAACAAATGTAGGCTATTTAACGATGGGGAAATGATTCTAATGTTATTGGACCTGCATTAATGAGCTGTTCCACGTGTTAGTGTATGCAATTTGATCGTTTTTATTTTCCGCATATACACTGGTATTTGAACGTTCTGTCGTCTTGCACTGTTAATAGTCCATTTTATTCCAACCTACGCTGAACTCTCTATAACTTTTATCCAAGGGGCACACATCATTTGAAAGACAACACGCAGGTCCTGGTCCTTTGATTCTGAAACCTCACAGCTTGAATAGCCCTCAATTGTGACATGAGTGATAATGATTGATCTTCGACCCAGTGTGCATCGTCGTGGGTGAAGAGTTGAGGGGTTTGCCTTCAGAAATGTTTTTGTTGTCCCGTTTTAAGATTTATTTGAAAGTTGATCACTTTTGTAAAATCAGGATAACTCAGATTAATCATTGATCATATTATCAGGCAACTTCCAATGCAGTTTACTGGAAATGATTAGCCTATTTCCTCAGTCTGGGGAGTCGTCTTTATATAGCTTATATTTATTTATTTACACTACGCACAGGATATATTATAATATATGGGATGCAAATAAATTCATTAAAACAAAACACACATCGTATATTAACAAAGCTGAGTTAATCTGACAACAATCACAAACGCAGTTTCATTTTGATCACCAGGACTAGGAAGTGCATGCATACGCTGCAAGTCATTGAGGAAATGCGGTGATGCATTATCATTAAATATTAATATAAGGCTGTTACTATATATATAGTTTGTACGTCGCGCTTTAGCTAACAATAGAAGAACAAAGAACACATTTCCTTTGCATTTAAGTTGTCTAATAATTTTATACGGGGCAGCTCAAGTGTTTCAGCGATTTCGAATAAGTTTTTGTCTAATTTATTTAATGACACATTAAGCCAACTGTTTAGTTGACATTTTAGTCAAATGTTTTCTTTGCATGCACGATAATTTGGCATACATAAAGTCACGGCGGAAGCAAAGAGATCCATATATGCCGTTGAAGTTCTAGCACAAAAACACTGCTCCACTAAATTATAGAAGTCGAAAATCTGCTTTCAAGATGATGTAGTAAATGTTGAACGACGTTCAATAACACGATGCGAACATCTCGTGGGACGCATACACTATAAATAAATATGGGCATAAACATTTCTTGTGCACACAGAACAATTTCATGACTAAGTCCAAAAATCACGAGGCACACTTTAAACACGACTCGCTAAACAATCCCTGTTCAACTCGAAACTAATCTCCATTTACATTTCTGAAACAAGCATTAAATATGGTGAATTATTTATGCCAACAGCATGAATAGTTCCTTCCCATCTCAACCACATTCTTCTTTCAGAACGTATGAGTTGGTACATGCAACTTGAATTTACAGAGTGAGCTGGTTGGGGGTGGGCTGAAATAACCTTTCACCCTGCCGTGTCATATCTGCATGTGTATGTGCCTGCCCCTGAATTACCCACAAGTCTTTGCGCAAAAGAGAGCTCGTGCTATAGGCAAACTCTTATTACTTCGATCCTGCATCCGGAGCATCCCTGCCTTTGACAGGGAAAAACACGTCGTCCATTGCACCCTCTCTGTTTGACATTCGTTACAGACCTTATCGTTAGGAAAGATTATTTAATCGTAAAACTAGTAGCCTATGCCCCTTCATGTGAAAAAAGCCAACAACGCCTATTCTTAAATATAGGTTATTTAAAAATGCATATGTAATATTATATTAAATATTTTCATCAGACTGTTTAGATATAAGCTATGGGGTTACTGACTTAGATGCAGTATTCATTAGACACAGGATAAGGTATGATGCTATAGAGGCATTACCAGTTTTTAGGGTAACAAGTTGTTAGACCTAATTCAGGAGGATAGGATATTAGTCTTTTGTGGATGTAAATAACCCTGAAGAGCGTTATTGGGTCTTGAAACCTAGTGGCCTACACATCAGTAAACTATAGGAGACAACTTATTTCAATTCAAAAATAATAATACAATTAGTTATATGTCAAGGCTTTATAAACTTTTTTTTTTGAAGCAACGTTAATCTGATAAAAAAAAAACATAGGTCTACAAACAAATAGTATAGCATAGTATAGTTTGATTTATGAACTTTGTCTAATATCAGCTAATAAATCTTGTGTGTCCAAATGATAATTTTCTCTTTGCTTATGCCGATTTTACAGAACCAGATATTGGTATACGACCCAAAACTAACGCTATCAAAATATCAACGAAAATAAATTGTTTATTGCAGCGTATGTGTCAACTCAATTAGCTGAACTTGATGTTGTAAATGATTCCAACATTACAAATCAACATTCCCCCCCAATAAATTGACAAGCCTCATACACAACCCCAAACTCTACCGTGAAAAGAAGCTAAAGCAGGGGAACCCCCAAAAGGACTCATTCTATAGACTACGAGAACATTTCATTTCACATAGGAACATTTCGTATAAATTAATACAATTTCGTATTATTAAACATCGAACGTTATGCTCCGTGTGTAAAGTTAAATAATTTATGTAGCATAACTGGGACGGTTCTTGCATTAATATTTTACTGCGGGGGCAGCTTGTTTTGAATGACAGGTGGGCTACTCACCAAGCATATGAGAGAATTCTGATGGACATCGTGACAGGTCGAAATATCTCTAACGGTTATCATTCAACGCCAAGGGTTGTGAGCCATAGCAACTGCGGAAGTGGCTTAACCAACCCTAACAGCTGATAGTGCACCAAACACATTTCAAAATGTTATGAATTCACAGCCAGATCATGGTCATTTTAGACTGACCTGATCCAAAAACGCCCAATGCCAGCGAGATGCTCATAAAATAGTGTCCAATCAAAATAAAATATTCTAAATGAATGTTGTGTTGCCTACTTATTATTCAAGTCACAAAGGGGACGACGTTAAATGGGACGATAAGTGTCAAAATTTAACTAAAAACAAACAAACAATCTAGGAATATTCATATATGAGCGCCTCCCCTTAATTTCCACAACATATAAGACGACGAAGTTTCGTACTGCTGGAGCCTATTACAGGTTTGTGTTGTGTAATGGGGCCATGGAAATCGGTTGGGTCAAGGTCTATGACCTACTTATTATTCAAGTCACAAAGGGGACGACGTTAAATGGGACGATAAGTGTCAAAATTTAACTAAAAACAAACAAACAATCTAGGAATATTCATATATGAGCGCCTCCCCTTAATTTCCACAACATATAAGACGACGAAGTTTCGTACTGCTGGAGCCTATTACAGGTTCGTGTTGTGTAATGGGGCCATGGAAATCGGTTGGGTCAAGGTCTATGCCAAAACCATCGGTTCAGATTTGGTTTTAAAAGAGTCTATTTGCACGTTCACAAATTTGGCAAGTTAAGATGTAAAGCAGAGCAATAAAATAAGAATGATACATTGTTTACATTTTTCACGTTAATCAGCACTTTTGTTTTCATGGGCCAAGTTAGCAGCCGTTGACGTTAATAAAAGCTTTAAATAAAACTATACAATGACAATAACCTCTAAAATTTGCCTGAAAAAAAAAAGACAGGCATTTTATATGTGCCTTTCATAGCCTACCGTGTGGCATTATTATTATTTTTCCGTGAGATTTGTATCCAGCACATAGCCAATAGGCTCCTATGTAAATATCTTAGTACAGTATCTAAACGGATGAAACATTAAAATGGGATATGTCTATACTGCTTCACAATTCTCAGGGATTCCCTATAAATCTGTTATTCTGAGAAAAAATGAGAATGAGCTTAAACGAGCACACTAATTTAATTCTGAGGGCAAAACTCCACTGTATGCATCATTTGCCTTGATCTTAAATCATGTTTAAATAAACATGATATATAAAGTTTAAGTTTCGGGGTAACCTTCTGAGGATAATTTTGACCTTAATAACAAATGTGAACAGAGCCTGCTTAATGAGTCTGTAAAGTAACATCGTTTCAGTGTAAAAACAGAACTCCCAGAAGATCATACTTTGCGGTAGAAGTGCGGTGCACCGTAGCTCGTCCCCTGCTCGCGGTAAAATTCAATGGCGCTCGCCGCGTGGATCAAACAGCCCCGCGAGGCCTCTTCTAGTCCGCTGCCTCCCCCGTTCGGCTTTTCCGCGCATGCGCGCACTAGCGCCTCCACAATCCCGAGAGCCTTCAGTACGGGGTTTGTGCTTTGAGCCCCCAAAAAATACCGCCTTTAAAACAACGCAACTGAAATATGGCTTTTCATCGAAATGGGACATAAAATACGGCTTTCAGGGGAGATAGGGATTCGTGAGACAAACGCCCGACCGCCTTTTTGTTGGTCTTTGTGCGCTGCCGATGGTAGATGGTATCCAGTGAGCTGTATCTGGCAGAGGAAGACGACGACGACTCGGCGAGTAATATGAAGGAGATGATCGGAGGCTGCTGCGTCTGCTCGGATGAGAGAGGCTGGGCCGAAAACCCCCTAGTCTACTGCGACGGTCACGGCTGTAACGTCGCCGTCCACCAAGGTAAATATAAGCGTCTTGACATCTCTACACTGTTATTTTTTTTGAGGTACGGGTTATTCGAGGCTGGTGTTTTGGTAAGTTCCCTTCTGTTGTGGTTTGAGAATTAGCTTAGCATAACCTAGCCTAGCTTAGCTCAGCTCAACCGAACAGTCAGTATGACCTAAGTTTAACCGCTGGAGCGTGTTTGCGTTATTGGGATGACATTTGAGAAATGTAAAATATTTGGACGGTTAATTTGTGGTGTTTTTAAGGCGTGTCGGTTGCTGTGAAGCAACGGTTTGCCGAAGTCCAGTCGGAGTGCTAATGTTATGTGTTAGCACCAGCGCTACTCTGCTGTAACAGCATGTCGCTCATGGCTGTTCATTATCTCCACAATTTCAGGACCAACAACGTGTCAGTCACAGCTATGGAAACAGAGATGAGTCACACTCAGACAAGCTCTGTAGGTCATTACAGCTAGGCTGATAACACTCATTTATGGCTAGTCAGCAAAGCTGTCAACTAATTCCGTGACTCTTATCAGGATCTTGACTGTTTTCTCCGCGTGTAGATGTTTGTCTTGTGTTATTTTAGGTTGAATGACGCTTCAAATGACATATTCACATACTTAAGTACATTGGTTCGAAGAAAGTTGTCCTTGTAGGAAACTCAATGGGTGCAGACAAGTGAAAAACTGAGCAAACAAATGCTAAGTTAACTTATTTTGTTTTCGATGTAAAGTAGAAATCTGACCTGTCATTATTAAAACCTTTCACTGAAGAGTGCTTTTTCTACGTTGAGATCCTGTTGATAATTTCTTTTAAGAAATGTTTTGTCATTCATGCCATGGAAATAGTTGGATGTCTTTTAATATTTACTTCTTGTTTAACGTTGTTTAAGCTGATATGGTCAGATCAGATGCTTAATATCCTAGAACTGGTGGCAGCATCTATTTTGTTAGTTCACTGAAGATGATCCAGTACAAATGGATCAAGTTGTCACCTATAGACTTGCAGACAGATGTTAGTGTTTAGACAAGCTTCTGATAAAGAGGTTTTTTGTAATGTTTTTGTATTGGCTGACTATTGTGAGTTTATAGCCTGTCATTGATCATTTCTGATAAGTGGAACCATAACATTTATTTGCGTTTGCTCAAACATAAATATAAAGCAAAGATTAGAATTCTTGCGTGTATTTAAAGTATTTTATTCAGGGTATGATTTTTTCTCTCTCCACCAACTATAAATGATTAATGATTAGTGTTTCACCGGCCATTTTATTTTTCCAGTTCAAATATATAAAATATTTGTTTAAATATGTAAAATTGAACAAACACACAAAGACCTTTGTAAATGGCCCAAAAAAGATTCTCTTTGCAGTCTTCCCTGGCCTTGATAGTGAACTTGACTGTTTTTGGTCCACTTAACTTTTCATTCACACTGTTGTCTATTTAGAACTTAGTTCAGGTTGACCCCAAAATGGCAAAATACCCATTATAAGTGAACCTCAATGTTCATGTATAAGACCAAATTCTGTGGAACCGGTGACACAAGAAAACATGGAAACTTCCCACATGCTTTTGTTCTGCAAAGTGCTCATGCTACATTTCGTTTTGTCTGTTCACCAAGATACAATCATACGTGTGTGTTTTTTTTCCAGTACGTGTCTTTGCATCTAGGCAACAGCATTTCCTGTCATATGTCAGTTTGAGATGTGTTACAAGAAGTCACATGCCACATGAGTTACCCACAACTGTGTGAACAAAAATTACCCACATTTGGTTCATGGCGGGTGTTAAATTCATACTCTGATGTTGTTGCAGTAGGATTACATCTCACACATTGCTTAAAATATCATTTTTAACACTCTCACATGTTAATCTCGAAACCTGACAGGACGAGATAGTCAAGCTGTCAGATTTACAGTAGTTGGAAGCAAGTCTTTTGAACTGATCTCTCATTCATTTCTGTTGTTTCAGCCTGCTATGGAATTGTCCAAGTCCCCACAGGCCCCTGGTTCTGCAGGAAATGTGAATCACAGGAACGTGCTGCCAGGGTGGTGAGTTTCCTCATCTTTATATAAATCTTTCAGACTATCTGTTTTGCTGAAGTCCAGATCTCCTTCCTCTTTTTGTATATTGTGGATTTGTTTGCAGTTTCCATTTGACAGATGATATTATTTATAATTGATACTCTGAACTGGTCTTACATATTTCACTTCAAAAGCTTTGGTAGCCAGCATGAGGGACATATTATAATAAACATGGTTGAAGGCCAGGCAAAGGACATTTAGGCATTCAGTGAAATTCCCTGTGATCAGACAGTTTTATCTTTATCAAAATACAATGCATTTAAGGTCAGGGTGTGCATGGACAAACTTAATCTTTTCTTTTGAAGTTTTGTCTGAGCTATTGCTCTACTGTTAAAGGGAAAGTTTTTCCAAAAAATCTAATTAAGTTATTTTTTACTCCCACTTGTGTTGTTGTAATGCAGTATTCCCTTCTTTCTTTTTCAGACCACAAAGGGAGAAATTTAAAGAAATATCCCGCTTGCCCATATAATGGCAGGGAATAGCGGCAAGTAGTTTTTTAGAAAAAGATGCAAAAGTATCACAGAATAATCGCAAACAACGCATGCCATATATTCCAATTATTCTAGGGATCTACAACAAAGTTGGGTGAAAACAAACTAAAATTTAATGGATTCTTCATCAAAAATCCTGACTTTGGCTGTTGGATTTTGTGAATGGCTGAGACTGTAAAACATTACATTTCAGTTTGTTTTTTACCAAACTTTATTGTATACCCCCAGAACACTTGGAATATGCGATAGTGTTAGGAAGTGTGGGTGCATTCATAGTATATGCCTACTTCTGCATCTTTTTTTTAAAAGCTTTATGCTGGCCACTATTCTATATGTGTGAGCCCGAGTGGGACATTTCTTTAGATTTCTCTCTTTGATGACTTAATTTTTATTTTTGGTTAACTATCCCCTTAATGATGCATCAGGGCACATGAAATGGTGAAGACATCACATGCTATTTATCATTTACATATGGACTATTCAAAATGTGGGCAATTATAAATAAGTATATTCTTAACATTTCATCAGTATTTAGTTTGTATGCACTTTTAGGATATTTATTAAGACCTCTAGAAGCAAATGAACTAGCCAGTTCCATACAGAGTCAGTCACTCTAATCTTCACTATGCGCAATGGCACTATTGCACTCTGGAATAGTGTTGAATGCGTCACTTGTTTACTGCAAACAAATTATCAATGGTACTTCTTACATTGTCAGCTTTTTTAACATTTAACATCATTCATAAAGTGTATATCTGGTCAAGGGTTGTTGCAATCATGTATTTTCACTATTTAATTTCATGGTCTTGTACTGATAACTTGGATTCATATCAGTACTTTTATGTGTTCGTGTGTGTATTTGTATCATGTAATTATGAAGCAGGTTGTCCTTGTTGTGAGACTGCAGTTTGTCTGTGTGAACTTTTAAAATGTTTAAAGTTTTCAGACTTTTGCGCTTGAGATGTTTATAAAAACCATATACGCATTCAGAACAGTTCATAACGTCTGTGGGCTGAAGTGCTTAACCTTATATCACATATATACCAATGTTTACTGAACAAACACCTGGTTTGTATGAATGCCATGTATATAAAAACAATATGACTCGGCAGGACTCTTAGGCCTGTATGTATAACAGATGTTATCTGACTTAATAGTGGGCTATTACACTGAACTTTTTTTGACTTGTCTGAATGATAAGAGGTTTGAAACATTATAAGCTGAAAATATCAGAATTGTACAAAAAGCTTCTTTATGGCTCAGGCGCAAGTCTGGCCACTGTCTAGCTTCAGAGGTCATATGTCTTTTTTTATCCATTATTCATTTAATCACTGTTTTGACTATTTGTGGAGCAATTTGTATCATTTGGTAACATAGTGATTACATGAAAATAATAACTCTTATGTAATATATATGCAATTACATATCGTGCTTTTTTAAAATATGTTTTTACATGATAAATATAAGTAGAAAAATATCAGAAATAATAGTATACAGTAGGCATGGGCCGGTATGAGATTTTGACGGTATGATAACCTTAAGCAAAAATATCACGGTATTGTTGTTACAGCTCTAAAACGGGTTATTTTTAAATGTCTGGGTGTAAAATTAATAAAACACTATATATTTTATTTTTAAGCAACATACAAAATATTTGTAATAGCAGTATTTGTTTATTTTTTCTTTGATTTGTTTCTGAAATGTTTGCTTAATTGTGGGCTGTCTTGCAGCTTTTGATGAGAAAAAGAAGAAAAATAAAGACTGACATATTTATTTAACCTAAATCTGTAATTACAGTTATTTAAAGGGGTCATATGATTTTCCTTTCTCTTTGGAGTGTTACAAGCTCTTGGTGCATAAAGAAGATCTGTAAAGTTGCAAAGACTAAAGTCTCAAATCCAAAGAGATATTCTTTATAAAAGTTAAGAGTCAACCACGCCTACCTAAAACAGCTTGTTCTAACACGCCCCCACATGTCTACGTCACGCATAACGCCGCCCAAATGTTCACGCAAAGAAAGAAGGCATAACTTTTATTCTCGCTGTAGTATTGTTGCTGCTGCCATGTTGTGAAGACGTGTAGTATACAGTACAGTGGTTCTCAACCTTTTTTTCCACCGGGCCGCACAATGGTCCAAGTACAAGTCTCGCGGGCCACACGCATATAATTTACATATTACGTCGGCAATACATACCAACCTGACTTATAATATTATAGCCTAAATATTATGATATCTAATCGATTACATTCACTGAAATAAATAAATAATTCTACTCCCCATAAATAACACCCAATTTTGTGAACTTCGGCTCGAAAGGAGTAACAGCACAATCATAGGCGGAGTTTCACTTTTATTCGTGGGGGGGCACCCACTGGCAGACGAGCCACGAGCACTTTTTTGTATGTTCTACATTTCATGTATTTATCTAACACATTTTCTACATTAAAAATTAATTTAGAATGAACAATAACTGCTGTACAAAGAGTAAAAAAAGAAAGAAAGAAAGAAAGAAAAAAAAAAAAAACCTAATGCAGAAAAGCCGCCTCTTTTTCCGAATTGCGCAGATGACCACTATCTTTGTTTCATCTCTTCTGGTAAATTTTCAGTCAAATTGTTTTCTGTGTGCTAGATCAGAGCTAGAGATGCTCCGATCTGCCTTTTTCGCCTCCAATACCGATTCCGATACCTAGGGTTCAGTATTGACCGATACCGATCCGATACCCGTGAAGTTTTTTTCCCTCATTTAAATAAATGTAGAATTTATTTATCTCTGTGTGTGGAACTGATAATCATTCTTTCACAATTTACTAGATACAGAATACTTCATTATAAAGAAAAATAAAATAAATATGAAAAAATATAGGCCTATGTATGTTTCTTTTCTTTTATTATATTGTCTTTCGGATGAGATGTTAAACCGAGGTCCTGACTCTCTGTGGTCATTAAAAAAAATCCCATGGCACTTCTCGTAAAGAGTAGGGGTGTAACCCAGGTGTCCTGGCCAAATTGCCCCCCTGGCCTTTGTCAATCATGGCCTCCAAATAATCCCCAACCACTTGATTGGCTCTATGACTCTCTCTCCTCTCCACCTGTATCTGGTGTGTGGTGAGTACACTGGCGACGTTGTTCTGTGGCTGCCGTCGCATCATCCAAGTGGATGCTGCACACTGGTGGTGGTTGAGGAGAGACCCCCCAACATGGTTGTAAAGCGCTTTGGGTGTACAACAATACACAATAAAGCGCTATATAAAATGCATCATTCATTCATTTATAATCTATGACAAAAATGTATCATAAACTAGGTTAGTGGATAATTCGGCAGCAAAAGTTATTCTAGAAAAATCAGTGCACAATAATTTTAGAAATCCAAACATTTAGTGAAAAAACAA